TGAGGGGTAGTCGGAGAGCATTTTCAAGGTCCCCTGTGTGGAAGCGCGACAAGCAGGTGGCGTGGCGCGGGCAGCTCCCGCGGAATCGAGGGCCGTCACCCGGGAGCCCCAAGCACCGCGTCCTTCCCCTTCTAAGCCCCCTCCACCACCCACCACAGGTTGCGCACACACTTATGCTCATGAGAATTTGTTGGTAGCAATGGGTAGCAATTGCTACTACTTTTTTTAAATGTTCGAAAGTAGCAAAGTACAATTATTGAAATGGTGCAGATCTGAATTGCAATGAAATCTTTGCAATTTCGAAAATTGAAAAAATGGAAATATTTTTCGACCATCTCCTTAAACAGCATTGCTGAAGTTACAATTTTTAATGAAATGTGTCCTTCAAAATTAGAGCTGAATTGGTGCTGTGAACTTTAAAAAAAAAGTATTATCACATGTATGTACTATTTTAAAGCAGAAAAAACTCGCTTTTATTGATGCAGGATTAGTTAATATTAATTAAGCTAATAGTAAAATTTCCTTAAAAGTCTAACCACGATTCCCTCCTTAAAAATCTTACAAATTTACATTGGGATTGGTCTTGAGATGTTGCCATTATATAAAACACAAACAGTATTTTTTACATATCTGTGGTTCTAAAATATTCCGATACTCTTTGTCAGTTAGCAAGCAGATTTACAGAAAAAAATGTTTGCCGAATATAATTTAAATAATCGATAACTATCAAATGTAAGTTCTCTCCAAATGTAAGTGGAAAAAACATTTGTCTTTCAGGGAAACTATCATTTCCGCAAACCCCCACAATGCAAGACAATAAATAAAACCCTAATTACAATAACAAAACCAAAGATGCTACAACAGCACGTACTTTTCCGGATTATGTGTATCTGTTATGTAATTTTATAATACTATTTGAAACTGCGAAAGCGTTTCCAACATGCAAACCAATTACCCACGCAGGTATCGGAACTCGCGTAGATTTACAAAGCAATGAGCAGATTCACGGCAATGTAGGGTATTTCACTTGGAATGCTACTGGTCACGTGATCGTTCAACACGTTTTACGCTACGCTACGCAAAATTTCTAAAGATGAAAGACACTCTCGCAAGTATGAGTTTGTTCTATGTCGAGGTTTAAACATGGTTGTCAAGTATCCTATGTTACAACGTTCTCCTTCCCGTTAGGGCATGCGTTCGCTGTGACACTGTCTTGGAGAAATTTGATTTACTTGTCCGAAATAACGTTTCGATATTTCCCAATCGCAGGAGCAGAATATGCAACGAGGGACGCGCTTAATACTTGACGGTGTAGTGGGTAGCGTAGAGCTTCTGTTCAGAGTTGCCTGAGACATCATAAACGCAGAAGTCATCAACAACGCCCCCACATGTCCGACTTTATTCAAACCACACTTAAAACACTCCGAATACTAATATGAACAGCGTGAAAATTTCAGCGAACTCGGTCGAGTAGCTTTTGCGTCTATGTGACAGATTTACTCACATTACCTTTCGTTTGTACATAGATGCCGGCCAATATACAAAAATTCACAGAGTACAAAGAAAATCGGGCATATACCACTTTATAAGCGTACTTTACTCTATCAGAGAAAAAATTCAAAATTTTGGAACTGTATTTAAATGAAAACTTATTGTAAGAAATCAAAAATCAAAATAACGGTTTCAAAATTTCGACATTCATAAAGCACTCCACCTAATCAATGTTCCAACGTAATTGAGGAGGATAGTGGCTGAATATCTTAATCGCAGACTTCTAGTGTACAATACGGATGATGGAACGAGGTGTCTCACCCTCTCACCTTCAGTGCTTGGTCCATTGCCGGGGAATATCAGGTATGTCAAGGTTCTTAGGCTCCCATTCCAAGAAAGAACCTCGATCATGGCTTCGCAAAATTTAGAGAGGAGATAGTATGTATCTGCAACGAAGCCATTGCCATTGTCAGTCGGCTGGATTCCGCAGTATTGCAGCTTGCCGAACACAAGCGATGCTTCTAATTAGCACGAAGAAGAGAGGATCTATCACTCAAATGCGGTCACTCTCAAAATCACAAAATTTCATCACGACCTGCAATAAAGTATCTTGGCATCTGAACGTCACGCGCTTGTTCTTTAGAGATAACAGACTATGCCAGCAAGAAAACAGAGGTGGTGAATGATTGGTTGCTTAGGCTAATGCCGAACACTGGAGGTCCACGCTACGAAAAGGGAAAGCTGCATGCTTCAGTCGTCACATCGGTTCTGCTCTATGGATCACCAGTTTGGGCCTCCAGACCTCTGCAGATACGAAGATCTACGTAAGAATGGCGTCAATATATCGTCAATCTGCACTCAGGGTTTCATGGGCGTTTCGCACTGTCTCAAATGAAGCAGTTTGTATCATAGCCGGGATGATTCCAATAGATATTGCCGGCTAGGTCAAATTCAGTCGCTGTCTGTAGGAGAATTCTAGCAGCCGGCTGCTCTGAATCAGTAGTTTTCCGTGGTTTCTCAGATCAACACTAGGCGAATGCAGGAGCACTACCCTAACAAAACGGGCTAAAGACGCGCGATTTTTCTTTCCTCATCCTTATCCTATCCTTACCCCCTTACACACACGATAACATGCACTACACTACCACACATGCCGAGAAACCTGTCGGGAACAACCTTGGCCCGGGTAGGCCGTGCCCCGCAGGTGGAAAATACCGCAAATCTCGCAATTGACTGGAGAAGACCACCGACACTACCCGAGGAAAAACATGTCCTACGCTTATGGGACTAATGACATTAGCAGATGACGCGCCCGGAATCACTAAAAATCAATCAATCGAAAGTGGGGTAAATAATTATCTCACGCAGCTTCAGACAACATGAATGCTTCACAGCCTATGTTGGCAGGTTTCGCAGGTTCAAAGTGGATGAAACCCCGTATTGTTCTTCGTCGAACCTGCTGACGAGAACGTCTAGCGTAACGTTTTTTCCCCCTTTTTTTCAGTGCCCACGTTCCGAACCACAAGGGCGAGTCCCCCTTGAGATGCTTGGGATGGGACGGATGACTCCAAGAAACTCTAGTTGCATATATGCTTGCTTTGAGAGCAGTTGGAAGGACGTGTGTAATATTGACAAGAATTATTGCGGAAATTAAGACGCATGGAGAAAGAAAGGAGGGAAATCTCATAATTCATTCAATACCACTCATTTAACTCCAGGATATAATAATACGTCGTGTGATTCGGTCACTAAGCCACTCTCCGCAATGTAATGCCTGTAGGCAGTCCCGTGGGGAGGATGGAGAAGGGAGGTTAGGGTTTAGTGAGTAAACATCACACACGCTGGATGGTGCGGACTACCCCGTGTCTTATGAATTCCCACCTACCCTCGTAAGAAAAAGACCTAGATACAGACACAAAAGGAGAGAGACACAGACGGTTAGACAGAGACAGACGACCAGATATTCAGAGGTATAGACGGCTAGACCTACAGAGATACTGACATACGCACAAATACTGCCAGACACAGAACAGTCAGAGAGACACGGAATAACAAACGGACAGTCGGACAGATAAAGACAGTAACGTTCAGACATACAAAGTCAAATAGAAATAGTCAGAAACGGACAGACAGGTACAGCGAAGGACAGAGATATAGAGACAGACAGAGACGCACAGCGACAGACAGAAACAGGGACAGCCAGACAAAGAAAGAGACAGAGACAGTCAAGAGAGACAGTCAAGAGAGAGTCCGTCCGTCCGTCCGTCTGTCTATAATGTATATAATATGGTCAGGCGAAAAGGGCAGGCTAAATGGCCTGTGCCTCGCCATCAATAAAGACATTTATTTATATAAGAAATTATATATACAAAGAATATAAGAAATATATTTTTAAAAGACGGATCTCTAAATAAGGTCAAGTATAATATTTCGAAAATATGAGTATGTTTTCACATAATTTTTCTTGAAATATAGGGGGTTTTATTTTTTTTTTTTTCTTAAAAACGTTTTGATTATTTTTCTTTATTTCTTTCTTCAAATAGAGCAATGTACGCTTATAAAAGTGGCACAGGTTCCGTTTTTGGTGAATATGTGAATTTTTGAAAATGAAAATAGTTACAAGTATAGAGTTACAGTATTTTTTTTATTTTTTTTATTTTTTTTAGTAGGCAGTCCGCAAGAAAATGTTCTCTTATTGCGATGATGGTGATCAACCATTAAATTGCTACTGTCTTACATTGTAGTTCAAAAGTTTCATGAATAGGAAATGCTGACAATTTACGTTAATATTTTCATGAATAAATTAATATTACAATAAGATAACAAGATATTCACACAACATAAGACAATATTTCTTGGAAGAAATAATTTAACAATATAACTATCACAGGACACGAGTTCCTCTCGACACGTAAATAAACTTTGTCATTTATCATAGGAATATTTCAATTCCAAAAATGTTCTTCGACAGGACTGCCATCACAGCCGATACAATAATACCATCGTACCAACACAGGCAAAAAGCGCGCACGGTACAGATGGAGCGGAATGCACCAAGATCTTTCTCATTGCATTTATGTCATAGAATTGTCAAGGCGCACACTCCCGAAAACTCAACTTTATCGACCACCTTCAGTGTAATTAGCAAGCTTTAAAATATTAGAGGCATTTACAAGCATGTCGAAAATATAGAATACAACGACGGCGATAGCAACATAGGTGCAACTGCGTAAACAACCTAAAATGACAAGAAACATGCGACAGATTTGTCCTTGAAAAATATCCCAATAATACATTATGTACACACATATGTGTACACAAAAGTGAGACGTTAGTCATCTCAATACAAAATAACTTATATTTTCTTAAATTTTTACGAGGAAGATAATAAACTCGTGTACGACCATTACATGGCAGTATGGTTATGAAGCAATGTAAATAACAATGAAATACGGAGAAAAAATTAAATTGATTGATTATCAGTAACATTAATATAGTTTGTTACTTACCGAATGAGAAGCATAGCGCCAGATACAACACCTGTATCATAGCCAAATAAGAAACCACCGATTGTACTGAGAAATGTCAAAACATAAATAAATGACGTTCCATTCCTATGCTTTGTTGGCTCTTCATTACTATTGACAGAGTTGGTCGATTCGTATTTGGATGTCATGTTCAAACACCACGAGTACGCTAGTGTTCAACGAGTCACCTTCTGCCACCCAAACCGCTCAGCACCACTGTAGCGCCTCGTCTGTGAATACTGCCATGTTAAGTGCTTCGAAAGGTTCGACATATATCGCCGCAGACCTGGACCTCGATAGATCGATAGGAGTCAAATCGAGTTCTACGTTTTCCACATGATGCTGCGACCATGAAGACTGTAGGTACGAGATTCGACACTGGTGGCGGGGGTATGTGTGAAAACCATCGGCAACTATTTGGCACATCAGAACTTCAGTGACACCACACGGTCATTGGGTGAACCTTTCAAGGTATTTTCGGCCAATGGCCAGCAAGGTCATGTGTCAAGTCAACGCCATCTATACGTAACTACAAACACTAATGTGTAGATGGCGTTGGTCAAGTAGGTGCAAAGATATTGGAAATGTGTATGCGCGTCGTTATTAGCCAATAAAGGCTAGATAAGTTCTTTCATACACCGCGTGATGTCGCTGAAGTTCAGATGTGCCGATTAGCTGCCGACTCTTCCTGTACGTGCTTCCACCAAGCCTCCAACTCCAGAGTTGAATATCTTACAGTCTTCATGGCTGTTGCACAGCCTCTCCGACTTCAGCCAATGAGCTTCAAGCACTGGTCCCTTTACAATATTAGCGGGAATTTGAAATACAGTCAGATACCAAATATCCATCATCACCTTGTTACAAGTCATTGAAACAGATATATGAAGCATTTATTAAATATTGAATCTTAAAATTGTTCATTATATTTTCAAAAAACATGTATTACTTCCATTTACATATTTCGTTTTTCGTCATTCCACAAATTCAAATAATCTGCATTGCATTTATTGTGTAATAATAGGAGAGTAACAGTAATTAAGATTACATCAGTATTATCTAAATAATTCAAGAATAGTGCACTAATTATTTTTCATGTCCGTTATAATTTAATTTATTCTCTTCAGCATAAAATTTAATATTTTCGTGGTGAACGCGCGTGAAATTGGGCGGTTTGGCTTTTCATCAATTAGTGAATATATTTATTAATTGCTAAAAAGCAGGAAAATTCCGTAAAAAATAGAATTTGCCTTAATTTTAGTAATCTTGTCTGTTACTATACAGTATTTCAATTTGCTACTCATGATCTAACTCAGGAAAGAAAAAGGGCAGGCAATCACACTTCATGTTTGTCTGGAAAAACATCCCAAAAAGTGAAATTTTTCTTACTTATCATGGTTATTTCATTCAATTCGTGTTAGAATTGTATAAGTGATATTGCATTCCATGAAGGCAGCAGTAAATGACAAGTGGCTCCCCTCATTCTGTTGATGAGGTTGTCCATTTGTACCAACATACTATTTTTTTGAATGATATTAATATCAATTCATTTATTATTTTTTTAATATTAATTTAAGATATCAGACCAGTTTTTGACAGTCTTCAACATATTTGTTGTCTCTAATCAGTTATGTTTATTACCTGGGTAATTGCATTCTCCATAGAGTTGGAAAACAGTTGTGCAGCAGTTTTCATCTTTTATCGTGCCCCTCAGTGTCAAATTATTTTCTGTTACTTTGACTGAAATTTTCAGGTCACTTTGGTTAAATGTCAGAATTGTTTTAATACATTCCTCATTTCTATGAGAACCATCAATAATGAAACCACTATGAAGAAAATGTTTTGTAACTAACGTGAAAAGATGAGAGGGTTGGAAAAAAACATTTTGGATTCTCTTTCAATTGGATGATCAAAGTGACAACAATGTAAGTTTACCGACAGATCATCTCACAGTTTTACATTTTTTGATGCCACATCACTGGTAATAGAAACAACTGTATACTCTGCTGAATACAGTTTGGTCAAAACTTGAAATAAAATTCCCTTTATTACTGCACAATCAAAATTTAAAAACCAGATTGTTTACAACACTTCAAAGACCATGTGTAATCATCACTTGGTAGGCAATGTGGGAGCATATTTTTCTGAAATTTGACATCAATTTCTATTTTCTTTGAAATATTCATTTCATCAAATGATATGGAGGGCATGGTAATGGATTCCAAGTGTATCCATTACCATGCCGTTCTTATGCATGCGTGTCTATCTATATTTCTTCTTTTAAGCTGTATTTATCAGTTGGTAAACAATGTAATTGATAGTACTGGTAATGGCATATTTGGTTGTGTTTGCACAACTATCTGTAAGATTTTGAGCTCATATTTCTTAATGAAATGGCTGCAGCAACATTTTCTATTACGTGTAAAACTCCACACTTTTCATCCAGGATGGATTTAATTTGCCCTTTTGTGAAATATTTTATCCAGAAGTATGTGAAATTTTTCCTGAAACTTTTTATCTTAACCATCTCTCTCTCATCCATCATTCTACTCTTTAATTGCATATTTGCCAGTAGAAGAGAATAATTAATTAGAAATGTTTAGTTTGAATCTGTGTATTGTTATTGCATTTAATTGTTGTGAACATATTATATCTTGCTTAAATTGTTCTTATCTAAAACTCCATGATATCTCGTATATTTTTATGTATATTATTATAAGTTAATTGAAGGTCTGGAGAGAAAATAGTGTTACTTCAGCCACTTCAGACTGCAAATGAGTTTTAAGGCAAAATGTGTCTAGTCTACATCATAACTATAAGTAGCAAGAAATGTTTAACAAACTTTACTGTGTTACTCTATCACATGTTGTCAAAATATAATAGTATTTAAGAAGTGTTGTGTAGATAATAATATCTCAATGCTTACCAAAATGTGGCATAGGGGTTTCAGATCCCAAGCCCTTCAATTGAAGTATTTTGTATGATATGTGTGTAAATAAATCAGTAGTAGGTAAATGTTTTTCTCATGTTAAATCAGAATTACCAGAAATGTAATAACATTTCATATTACACTTGTCTCATGTACAATAATTTTTTCTTTGTTAATTTTATATACTACTACATGCATGTATTTGAACAGAACTGTCAGAAAGTGCATATAAATATAATGTTAATAAACAAAAAGGCCCCATTTCCATTTCAACCGCAAGTTATTTCAATGTTGAATTATTTGAATTCCGAAGGAGAGGACTTACAACAATTTAGATTCTAGATAGAGGAAACAGCAACAACAAATTAAGGAGATTTCTTAAAAGCAATAGGAAAACCTACAGGAGAGAGGCTGTAGATATACTGTCCAAACAACTTCATGTTTTCTTTTAAAGATTTTTTTGTTAATGCTGCATATAAAATGTATATGTATTTTTTGGTTAATAATTAATATTTATAAATTATTAACAATGATATAATGAATGACATCCGTTAGCTTAGAAAATAAGTACCGTAAAAGCTATATTTTTGAATATGCATCATGGGCTTCTGGGTGGAGTGAAATATCATGCTTCACCTACCCCTTAGGTTCGCCACTGACAATAAAAATAGTTTTTTAAAGTTACGTAGCTCCTTTTACTTTCTCGCACCTTCTTACTTTGTAAGAAGGGAAAGTTATATAATCGTGCGCCAGAAAACGGAGAATTTTCATCAGAAAAACTATGATTGCCTGGCCCTTGTTACGAAAACTCCAGTTGCTTTACAGTACAGTAGAAAACACTTCCTCTAACACGTGGTGTACACAGAATCCATGTTTTCTGGGTCCGTGATACCGAAATATCGATTGACGACAAAACGTGTGTCCGACGGTCTGTTGCTCATCACAAGTGCTTAAGAGAACGGAGCAGGTCTTATGATGTCTCAAGTAGATACATTTCGTACATTGATACATATGATGATAAATTTTAAAGAAAGAACTGATGCGGTTTATGAGGAAAACAAGTGTTTAAAAACTTGAAATTGTCTATGTTTCGTGAAAAATGACACGAAAAGTACTCACATTTTCTAAAAATTGAACGTGACCTTATTTCAATATCTCTCTTTAAAGAACAGCTTTCATTAAGGTAAACATATCTATCTTCAATATAATGGTTATACGAAGACGCAAATTCAAGGGACCGCGACATCAACCAGATCGATGGCGGAATATCAAGTTTGGAGAAAATAGGCTGAACAGTTTAGCCGCTAACGTTGTTCACAGACGGACGGATAGACGTACTTTTGTCTTCATTCGATTTTTCGGTAACAAGGACCCACAAAACATGGATTCTGGCTACACCGCATATTCGAAGATTTTTTTCTAAATTTAGCAACCTGATTTATCCACTTTTCAGTTACCAGGGCTCTTTTGCTACCCGAAGAAATAGCGTTCCTTGCTACAAACCAATATAGAAAAAATGATGTAAGAGATTAATGCAAAAAAGCAATACTAATAAGAAATGTTATTTACATTGAAAACCTGAAGATTTAATTTCGATTTCTATCTATAGTCTAGGAATTAACTGTAGTGATTTCTGACGTTCGATCACCGGGAATGCGTTACCCAGTCGGATGATTTAACGCCAAAAATTAAGCAGCAACGAATCTATTGTTGGATAAAAGCGTCTAGCAGATCAAACGACAGAAGTCACTATCATAAAATTGAAGTATAGAGAGAGGAGCGCCAGTTACAGACAAATTCTTTTAGCCTCTTGGAAAGGCGCAAAGAACCATGGCGTCTGAGGAAATGTAGAAAGCCTTTTTTCTACAGTTTCTTTCCGATTATTACAATACCTATATCGTTCTATTAATCTCTTCGAATACTATAGAATGGTGACAGAAAAAATATATACTTCCATTTGAAGAAAAAAATATATCTTTTTTTCAAAAATTAAAAACGTTCACCCTAGGAAACGAAATACGTTATTTTCATCATCTCCAACAATTTAACACTAACCGCATCCCGATAGCTCAAACCGTTTGGGAGTTATTCGCTGTGGCTCACTCAGGTGATCCTTAGTGCATCGTAGTGAAATTTTTCCTCAGAAGTATTTGTGAAATTATTTGTGTTTAATAATTGGGTAAATAAAACTTTGTGTTGGGAAAATCTGAAAAAATTTAGAGAAATATTATTTCCACTTTTGCCCCAGCACGTGAATTATTTTGGCGAAATATATGATGTGTATAAAATTGTACGCTATATCAATGCTGTGTTTAGTATTTTATTCATCTGTATATAAATAAAAGGAAATGTGCGTATGTGTGTGTCTCATATAAACCCAAAACATACCCTATAAATTTTTCTGAAATTTTCACACATTGTTCTTATTAGTAATGGGAGTGCTTAAAGAGTATT